TAAAAAAAAAAAAAAAAAAAAAAAAGAAATAAATGAAAAATATTGGTCTTACTCGGAAAATCATCAAGGCTACCTTGTGCATATCTAGCCTAAGTTCAAAGGACAACTATCTAACCCTACTACATTTAGTTGCTAAAAAACATGTACGAGAGGTACGTGACCACATGATTGAATACGTGTCTCTAAATCTTTTGTTACATCCCTATCCAAAGACTTGAAAGCTCAAATGAACTATGGTATACATAGCATATTCAAACTTTGGATGGGTCTAAACTATGAAAGAAAATGAAACTATAGATCAAATGAAAGAATGGCATAACCTACAAGTTACATATGGCACAGGCTATAACATTGATGCTGGAACCAGCGTGGGATCATTTGAGAATGTTTTCTCCCCACCATTCTAACTAAAAAGATCCTTACCAGATCGTCTAGCAGCTCGGGTTTCGATGCTAAACCTTTTACGTGAAACCTTTTGCAGCAGCTGAGGGGATGGTAGCTCTCAAGTCTCGACGAGACCATGGTCACTATGTCAATACGTCGTCCCAATATAAAAAATTGGGCATTCTACTCGACCTTTTAGTATGAGTATATTTTTCGGGTTTGCATTTAGGACCATTGCCTTCCAAATTACAATCATAACAGAGAAGGCTCATTCTTCAGTGTAATGTGAATTGCTTATGGTGATCAAGTGTTCTTCAATACCTTTCATTGAATCCCCACTAATATACCACGCTACAGATCCTGCAAAGAGAGGTATAACTTCTGCGTTAATAGCCGCCGTGTGCAAGTTCTATTACCACTACCACATTAAACAAACAAGTAATGAAGTTGATATTCATTCAGCAGAAATCAAATCCATGTTATTCTTATTTGACCCCTTTTTGCCAAATGTTACCATATAAAAGGGTGTTAATTGTTCGGCAGTGTTTCTGAAGAACGGTCGCGGATTCAGATACACGAAACAGATGTCTTCAACACCCTTTTAGATGTTATGTGGTTTGTACGAACACACATACAAAATCATTTAATAGAACATGATCGTGGAGTAGGGGATCCAACCTCTAACCTCTTGGTCGAGAGTACATGCCTAAACCATTTGAGCTATGTTTGAGCATATAGATAGTGCAATAACTGATTAGCTATCAAAACATAGTAATAAGAGAGATATTTAGATGTCATACCTTGTGAAGGGACTGGTTGTTGTTCTCTTGTTGAGTGGAGAATCATAGTTCCAGAAAGGACGGTAATGAATCCACATAACTCAGAGACTATAGTACTTACGTTCTGACCTGACCAGTCCTGCAGCACAGAGCGACTTAAACGATTCACATTCATAGTTTTATTTTTTATTTTAAGAAGTTATATTTGTTTCACTTGTATGATAAAATACCAAAGACCGAGGAGCCACATCGACAACTAACTAATTACCTTAAACATGATGGCACTAGCAATAATAGTCAATGTTGTGAACATGGCATAATACACTGGAGATACGAGGGCTGCATTGAATGTATCCAATGCCTGAAACAAAGAAGACATATCTGTGAGATCCCACATCGATTGGAGAGGAAACAAAGCATTTTTTATAAGGGTGTGGAAACCTCTCCTTAGCGGATGCGT